TTTTTTTTTTTTTTTCTTATTACATATTCAACATTCTTCCCTAAAGTAAAACCTCCACGCGTATTCAATGCCGATCGTATCGCGCAGCAGTCTGTCGGTCGGAATAATAATTTTAGTTAATCGCTACGAAACGGTTCTCGCCCGTTTCACGCTTTTTGCTTGGAAACCATTTCCTCGCATTCCCCGACTATGTCTCTATATACTCGATATTATATTAGTAACGCTAAAAATCGCGGTCCTTCGAATTGGACGTAGGCGTCGTTGGTACCACGCGGGATATGACCAATAATAATGATCGTCGAATTCGAATCGTCTCCGCCTCGTTTCTTCTTCCTCTTCTTCGTCTTTTCTTTTCCTCTTCTTCCTCTCTCTTCTTTCGTCGACGCGGAATTCGTCCATCGAGCGTCGATCCTCCTCTTCCTTCTCCTTCTCCTCCTCCTGCTGCTGCCTTCTTCTTGCGTTTCCTCTTGCTTTCGAAGACGTAAGAGTAAGAGAGGAGGTAGATCGGGAGAAAGGCTAAAGGTACGTTACGTTAATTCGTTGGTCTCTTCTCGGATGAACAACGATCGAACTCGAACGATAGATGATGATAGGTTCTTAACAACGCGTTCGTTCTACTACGTTTTTTGTCGTTCGTTTCATCGATGAAAATTTAATAATGTGTCCTGAGCTGATGTTTGTCGTTAACAGCCTTTTCTTTTCTCTTTTTTTTTTCTTCTTTTTTTTTCGATTTTTTTTCTTTTCTTTCTTCGTTTTTTATAGAGACGGTTGCCCAGCTGATAGAATTGACTTGAGGTTGCCTATACCGGAATCGCCTGCACGATGATCTCCTCGTTGTGCTTTTTCTTCTTTTAAACGACGGTTGGTCTCCGAACGAGTATCGAATCCGCGGCACGAAACGCGACAAAATCGATTCGCGCGCTCCTTCCTTCTCCAAGGAAGGGGTTTCCCCCGCTTCTCCGCTCTCTCTCTCTCCATCGAGGAGACGGCCGCAATCCGTGGGACGGGCGAAGAAGCAACGGAAGAATCGGAGCAGACGACGATGATCGATCGAACTGCTACGTGTGGAAATTCACGCGAAATTTCCTTTAGAACAGCGCTCTCGCTCTCTCCCTTCCTTCTTTCCTTCGGGTTCAACAGGCGCTCTCGAGATGGGCGCTCTGCCTTCTCCTCGCCTGCCGCTGCCGGAACTGATGGAACTCGGCCTTCATCGCTTGCACCCTGGCCTCGATGTTGTCCCTGCTGTACCTCGGCGTCTGATGATGGGCCGTGTGCACCTGCTGGTGGATCTGGTGCACGGGCGGCCTCTCCTCCCTGGTCGGGGTCGAGGCGGAGGTGGGGGTCGGGGTGCACGAGACAGGGTCGAACTCGTAATGCCCGTCCACGCTGCCCGCGTCCACGGCCGTGGTCTGCGCGTGATGATGCCCGACTTTCGCCTGGTCCTGGAGCTCGAGCCAGCGGCCGACCAGGGGCGGGGGCGGCGGCCTGTAGGGGGGCGGCCTCCACTCGGCCACCGTGCTACCGCTCCTCGAGCTCTGGTTCTGCTGCGACGTGTTCTTGCTCCGAACCCCGAGCTGCTCGACCTGCTCTCGGGCGAGGTCTCGAGGTCGGGCGAGGCGGCCAACTCGGGGGCGGACCTCGCGTGCCTCGCGTGCCTCGGCGGCAGCCTCGCCCTCGACCTGCCCGCCGACTGGGGGGGCGAGGAGGTGGCCAACGGCTGGACGGGCACGAACCTCCTCGACTCGGCGTGGATCGCCTTCAACGAGGGCAACTCCTGGCTGTACCGTTGGTGCACGCTGCGCAGCTGCAGGTAGTCGGGCGGCGTCGGGAAGGAGCGCTCCCCGCCCGAGGATGGCTGCCTCACCGAGCTCAGATCGCTGAAGTAGAGCGGCGTCCACGGCACTTGGGGCCCGCTCGGCGAGCTCGCCAAGAACCTGGGCGACGAGATGGTGCAGATGGTGGCGGCCGGCGCCATCCTCGCCAACGAGTTCCCGTGGTGGTGGAGGTGGTGGTGGTGGTGGTGGTGGTGGTGGTGCATCGAGGGGGGGATACCGCCACCGATCGAGACGCCGCTCCCGTCCGACCTGAGGCTCAGCTGGCTGGTGCCGACCAGCGGCCGCCTCCACGAGGACTTGGCCGCCAACCGTTGCCTCGGCAGGAAGCCGCCGTCGTCGCTGCTCGACGCGTCCAGGATGCTGTTGTTGGCCGAGCTGAGGGCCGAGTCGGCCACCACGAAGCGGCCGTCGGCTGCGCGCGAGATCTTACCCAATGGTCGGCCGCGGCACGAGTCCGGTGTGCCCGGGTTCAGAATCTCCCTCAGGAGATTCAGACCTGGTACTCGGCTTTTTCTAGGTCTACGGGTAGGACAAAACGAGCGTTAGACGTTTCGTAGTGGCGGTTGGCTCAGCGCTGGGTGCAGCGACGCGATCAACCCCGTCCAAGGAACGTTTTCTGCTCCCAGCTTCTTTTTTTTTCTTTTTCCTCTTTCTTCGAATTGAACGACGTCGTCTCATCGTTACGCGTCGAACTTCAGAGGAACTCGGTTCCGTCCGATGGAAAGGTGCTGACGAATTTGGAGAAAATTTTCCCAACACATTTCGATCTCCTTGGACGATGTTGAACGGCCGCCGCGCGACACAACGATAAACGTGCAACAACGTACGTAAAAGAAACACGCAACGTTAAACACGAACAAAAAGGGGGGGGAAAAAAAAGAGGGGAGCTAGGAGAAACAAAACAACGAAAAGGCAGACAGTACAAGTTAAACGTACAATATGTATAATTATTATTATTAATTGAGAATTAATTACGTGTACGTAAGTACATAATAACGAATAATGGATGCAGGCAGGGAAGAAGACATGCGCATGCGCATTCCGGTGCACGAGTGGTCGGGCGTGACGTGGATCGTGGGTGGGTGGGCGTTGCCAGTGAGTCGAATTTTCTTCTTTCTTTCTTTTTTTCTTTTTTTTTCCCCCGTGTAATTTTTTTCTTTTCTCTTTTCCCCCCCTCTAATCTTTTTCTTTCTTTCTTTTTTTTTGGAATTTCTTTTTTTTTCCTTTCTTTTCTTTTTTTCTTTTTCTTTTTTTTTGTTTTTTTTTTTGTTTTTTTTTTTTTTTTAGTTGATAGCAATCGTGGATTTAGGTGCTCCGAAACTCGTCACCTTTTCTCCTCCTTCGGGTCCGGCAGCAAGGAAGATGGGGGAGAGAGAATGTTGTAACACAACGATTACATTCACAAAAAACAATATCGTGGCGATAATGGTAAGAAATATAACGCTAAATAATCGAAATCGTTACTTCTAGGCGGTGATGTTAGGGAGCAAATAGATAACGCGTGTTCCTGTCGGGGATCGCGGCGGTCTCGCGTCCTTCCAAAACTCGTCCTTCCTCCCTCGTCGTCGTTCTCGTGCATTCGCAACGGAATAGACTTAAAAAAAAAAGGTGGAGGGGAGAGAGAAAAAAAAGTAAGAAGAAATAAAGATAGAATCGAAAACAAAATCCGACGAATCCGGACGGGAGAAGCAGTCGAGAAAGAAGGAAGAGCGAAGCAAGAGCAACGCAACACAGGAGTATAAACGTAAACACGGACAAATCGTAAGTAGAAAAGAGTAGAACCGTGGATCGTGTTGTGCAACAATGATACAGATATACAACAGGTAGGAAGAAACGTGTGTGGTGGGATTTCTCATCGGCGGGGAAAGAAGGAATTCGAGAAAGAATCTGTTTTTTATCGATCGATGGGGGAGGAGAAAAAGTCGTCGAGTGACGATGACGACTTTTTAATCATCGTGTGGAGAGGAGGAGGAGGGATGGGGGGGGGGAAACGATCAACAATGAATAATATAAAACACAATGAAATATTATATCGTGTTTCAGAGATGCAGTTTTAGAGGGTAGAGCCGCAAGGAGAGCGGCTTACCTATCTTTTTTTCTTTGCTTATATCCGTGTGTTCGATTGCGAACGCGTCTTTTTACGGCTCGTCTAAAATCGATAAACTGGAAACAACAAAAAGAAAGATACAAGATTTGATTTGGGTTAAAATTTCGATCGAGCGAAAGCACCCTGATTACTATCGCACTTCTTTTTATTTCTTTCTTTCTTTCTTTCTTTCTTTCTTTCTTTTTTCTTGCTTTCCTTTCCTTTCCTTTTAATACCTTTCTTTTTCCGTGTTTTTTTTTTTTCTTTCTTTCTTTCTTCCATTGTCATGCTCGGTGAAGCGTGACATGCTACGTGTGAGTGAAAAAAAAAAAAAGAAAATGTCGAAGAAGAAGAAGAAGAAGAAGAAGAAGAAGAAGAAAAAGCAAACGGGTCGATCCCACGAGGATTCCCGCGTACTTTTTACTCGAGTAATTTCGTGTGATCGTAAACGTGAATAGAAGAAAGGGAGAAGAGAGGTGAGTGAGAGAAACGAGACGAACCGATCTTGCGACGAGTCGAGAGACAAGCGTTCGAATTTTTTACTTAGAGATAAAAAGAGAGAGAGAGAGAAAATCGCGAGCAAGATCGGGCCGATCGCGTTCATTCAAAAAAATGAAGCAAGCTAAATCGATCGAATCTTGAATCAAGAATTATATATTTTCAATCAAGTTGTGGTGCATCTACGATAAATGTAGAGAAATGTTGCGCGAGATCCATCAAAATTTCAAATAAATAAATATATATATATATATCTGTGTACGAGCAAAGAAATCGCGAGCGATTCTCGATGATCTGGAATCACAGATATCATGATTCTCGAGATTGCGATCTCTCCGATACCAACTTTTGCCGAAACCATCGAGAACTCGCTCGATCATCTTACGATTATCGTCTATCGATTGAGCGAGTGGCGCGCAACGAGAGACGATCGGACGAAAAACAAGTGTGAGCGATCGTGAGTAAGAATGGATGACGAAAAGAGGAGACAGAAGGACGGCGACAATATGAATCGAGTGTCTGATATGAGATAGAAAGAGAGAGAGAGAGAGAGAAGAAAAAGAAAAAAGGAAACAAAAGTGGATAAATTTCTGATCTCTACGTGTACTACGTGATGGTCGGCGAGGCGAGATCGAGAGAATCGGCGTGTATACGATAGCAAGGATATAATTTAGAAATTTAGCCTCGATTACCAACCTCGAGAACCAATCGCGAAATAGCATAACTTCCGTCTCAGGGATGATGGTTCGAGCTGGATCTCGAACGAGATCTCGAGCAATATTTCGAGAGGATCGTTCTTAACCCGTTTCTTAAAATTCTAAAAAATTCGTCTTGCATCTCGTCTCGTATCTATGTACTCCCTAAGTCCGCCGAACGAAGGTATTTAGGGTACTGACTGGATGGTTACTAGTGTGACTCCTAGCTGTATTGCCTGTATTGCTGATCTCATCTACAGTCATGACAATCATCCTAAGTAGTAGTAGTAGTAGTAGTAATAGTAGTAGTAGTAGTAGTAGTAGTAGTAGTAGTAGTAGTAGCAGTAGTAGTAGTAGTAGTTGTAGTAGTAGTTGTAGTGGTAGATTAATAGGTCCTAGCAGGTAACATTACAGAGCTGTAGTCTCGCACAGTAGTAGTAGTAGGTAAGTAGTGGTAGTAGTAGTAGTGGTGATGGTAGCAGTAGGTAAGTTGTTGTAGTAATAGTAGCGGTAATAGCGATAGTTCGGACAAGTCCTAGTGGCAATTTGCTCGCTCGATCGATCAACGACGAATCACGAGTATCGATCGAATCGTTTGACCGATCGATGGATCGCTTGGCAATTTATTAGGTTGTTTTAGACACACAGAGAAACACATACACGTATATACCGTCGGCGAGTTGTTACTTTCGTGGTCTCGGGAGCAACCGTTGTCTCGGGTACGTAATAGTAGTAGTAGTAGTAGTACTAGTAGTAGTAGAGTGATGGTAGTAGCGGTAATAGTAGTAGTAGTAGTAGTAGTAGTAGTAGTAGTAGTAGTAGTAGCAGTATTAGTAGTAGCAGTGATAGTACTTGGTTTCATTTTCAGTGTGGCTAGCGGAGGTTAGGCTTACTGTTCCGCCTCTCTATGATAAACACGCTCTCGTAATCTCGATTATCGAGGTGGAGTGCGTGATGGTCACGATCACGGTTCGGGGGGGCCTGCTCGTGGACCGGCTCCGAGGTGGCAGTGGCGGGGGTGGTTACTTGCGTAGGAAGTGGTGGTTGATGAAGAGGTTGTGGTGGTGGTGGTGGTAGTTGCGGATTCAACGGGCTGCAACGGGTCAGCGTCGAGACTGACTCGCCGCACGCGTTTAGATTTGTCGACCTACAGAAAACACAGAGAGAGAGAGGAGGACAAGAGACGCCCACGTTTTTTTCTTTTCTTTTTTTTTTCCCCCCCATCTACTAACTCTTCCTTCGTATTTTCATTCATCTTTTTCTTTTTCTTCTTTTCCCTTCCCCCCTTTCTTCCTTATCTTTTATCTATTTATTTATTCCTTTTTCATATATATATATATATATCTATATATATATATATATATATCGTTTTCACCTTCTAACCGCGTTTCCTCGTCCGTATTTCTCTCGTTCTATTCGCGATTCATTCATTCGTGACGTGAAACTAGGAGAGAAAGAGAGAGAGAGAGAGAGAGAGAG